CCTTAAAAGATTCATCTTTTTTCTTGGTTAGTACTTATTTTCTGACTTGATCTTTCTGTCCAGTTTCAGCCTTTTTCGTGGTTTTGTGTTCATATTAAATCTTATTCATGAATAGTTAATGACAGGAACTTCACAGAGAAATTCATCAAGAAATGTAGTTATTTTAGAATTTTTTATTAAATCATGTAGTTACAACTGAAGCTGCATTGACAAAACCAAAAAACTCTGATGCTGAAGTCTAAATTCTGTGGTTTTATGACAAATGCTGCTTTTAGCATTACAGGATCATTGCTGGATGGAAAATCAAGCATCTTGCTTATTTTCCAACAGTCATGTTTGGAAACCATCAGCTTGGAAAAATCCATCTTGGTTTGGCATAAAGCCAGATTTTGAAATTTCAGCTTTCATGAAGCAGAAATGTCTTTCTTCAAGTGGCCCTCGCAGCAGGGTCAAAATGTGAGCCCCACTCTGTTTTATGCAAAGCTTTTCACTTCTGCAGTTGTTCATCCCTCCCCAGTCCAGAGATAAAAAATTCTATCTTTTTTTGGTTGTGCCAGTTCCTTATGATTTTCCCTTCCTTACTTATACTGTGCTGCTGTGAAGGGATAAGTATTGGCCTAAGCTATTACTGTTGTTCCTTCACGTATGTAGCAGAACAGAGAGAGAATTTTGATGGCAGTTTTGCTGCTTTTGTGCAGAAAGCTTGTGATTTTAGCATTGCCCGCAGGGGTACTTTACTCCCACAATGTTGCTTGATGATTCTATTTCTACCAACTCAATATTCCATTAGTTTTGTATTACATTCCTGTTACTCTTTTTGGTTATGTTAATTGCTTGCATAGGTAAGATTTCAGACAGGGATCTTATTTCTACAAGGTTTGTCCTGTGCTACAACTCTCATTACTGAATACCTGAGCACCTCAATATTCAGTGCATTTATCCTTGCCCACCCAGTGGAATATAAAGCTTATTTTTTATCTATTTTTAATAAAGGGGAAACAGTGCTTTGTAGAGGCTAGGATTTCATCTAGCTTTCAGAGGGAAGAAATAGCAGGTTCCTGTGCATAATTTCCAGGTGTTTGGCACCCTAATTGCCTGTGTTGAACAGTTGGGGTGATGGATGTTGCATATGGGGAAGAGTGATCAGAAAGCATCGGCATTCTCAGCAGGAAGCTGCTCTGAGCCAATTAGCAAGAACAGGGATGTTTCAGGACCTCTGCCTCCTTCTGCAGCTTTGGCATTTAGCTCTCCGTGGGCCAGAGGCACTCCTTCCTTTGGCACACTGCCTCTCCTGCCAGTGCATGCAAGCTCTGAGCTTTGGTACATGTTCTTATCCTTCAGTGTCTTTTATTTAAAACAAAAAAACCAAACCAACACACAAATGCCACCAAAGCCATGGTGGTCCCCTCTTCCTCACATCCCTTCTTATATGTGAATCAGCAGCATAAGCATTGACTGAGAAGGCTTACTGCTCACTTGAGCGTGTTGAAGTTGCATCTCCCAGATCCTGGGGCAATGCCCAAGTTAGCAGGCTGCCTGGGAGGCTGGAGCTAGGGAGGGAGCTGTGCTGCAAGGCTGTGTGAGTAAGCTGGGAGTCCTGGGACCTGGAGGAGGATGACTCGTGACTTGGCTCTCTTGGCAGGGAGGGGAGCAGAGTCCTATCTTCCAGACTTGTTTGTGCATTTTAAAAACAACTCCAAAACAAATCCAAGGGGTCCAATCTGTATTTTTGTTACTCAGGTGACAGCCCAAAATACTTAGTGGTAAACGTACTCTTTCATGTCTTCTGCTCCCCTCACTCTCTGCTATGTCTGCCCTCCAATTAAGTATGTTTTTAAGGCAGCAGAAAGAGAGGAGGTGAGAGGAACCTCCTCATGCTGAAGAGGCCTTTAATCCAGGTGCCTTGTATTTTTTTCTAGTGCTCTAATCAGTAGGATACTGTATGAAAATAAACACTTGCAACAATATTGTCCTCTTGGGCTGTGTTTTAAATGAAAATGTTTACCTGTTCATTTTGTGAAGTACCCTGAGCTCCAGCTGTAGGCTGGGTGTATTTTATTAGCTCCTTAGGGGCCAGCATCAGCTGGGATTTTTGGGTCTTCAGGTAGAATAGGCTACTGACACAACTGCCAAGATGTTTCATTTTCAGCTTGTACAGAAGCAAATTTTTTAGAAAACTTCCAAGTTTAAGTAAGAGGTGCTCTTTGGAGTAAGCACTTGTAGATGCCTGGTTTATGATTTTGGAATTGCTGTACAATTATATAGGTGTTAAAATCCTCTGTTGAATGTAGTGTTAACTGAGCAGGGCCCCATGTATGTGTCCTTGCTCCTTTTCCTACCTCTTTGCCTATTCTATTTACAAATCTTAAAAAAAAAATAGAATAGTTAATAATCATAATTTCTGTAATATTTTACCTGATAGTCATGTCTCTGTAATATTGCTCATCATTACAACTACTTCTAACACCCATCTTATTTTAAATCTGTGTAACTTTTTTCTTCAGAACCTAATTAAATTAAATTACAAGCATAGGGTTTTTTAGGAAATACTGCCATTATTGAATCTACTGTTTTGCATTCATAAAGGACCAGAATTTAAAACAGCAATCGTACATCTTATAAAATCTTGTATTTAAGTCAACACTTTCTTCCCTCCCATTTTTTTACTGTAACCTCTTACCTCTTATTTTTCTGTTGAAGATGCAGGGCCAGTTTACTTCCTGCTCCATGAATTAATTTATAGTAGAGGTTCAGTAAAACAGTCTCACTGTTTCAAGGGAGATGGTAGATAAACCTCTCACAACAGAAGTTTATCCATAAATTTATAAACAGCTTCTCTCATTAAACATTGTTGGACTAATTTCAGCCTAACAGTGTACTCTTTATTTTATGCTGATCACATTGGTCTCTGTTCAGATAAAATATACTTTATTACAGTGTATTTTTTCCCCTAAGAAATCTCATGAACGTGGCAAAATACTCATTTATACTTTCATAATTCATACTTTATTATTTGGCGAAAGTGAAACTAGTGGATGATTTGCTGTCTAAGGTCTGGACAAAATTTGAAAATTATTTAAGATTTTACCCTGCAGAAACCTAATTCTCTCCATAATTATTGTCATTTCTGCTGCATACAAAGCCCCTCTCAAACTTCACTGGGGATAGTTTCCATGGGAACCAGAGAGTGAGAACTGATGAGTCTTGAAACAGTCAAATAATAATCTTCCTTTTTACCAGTGGGCAAAGATTTACTTCTCCACTGTTTAATGGAAGTCACTAGAGCTTATGTTTTGAACAAGGGAGGAAAATAAGGCATCTGAAAGGAGACCAAGTCTGCTTTGTATACCTGAAGGGTTCATTCTTGCTGTATTAAAAGGGAAAACCACTGGGTTCTCCTTGCAGAGGTCTCTTCCTTGTATTCTGCTTGTAGACTCCTGAATGACAGAAAGGGAAACTCTCTGTTAAATCTAAATGTGAACTGTCCAGGAACGGTGAGGAGGGAGTAGTGGTCATGAGAAGGTGAGTTAATTATGTGTGTGGCAGAGATACAGTCACATCATGAATGCAAAAATTTAGAGGCAGCTGAATGATCCTGCAGAAAGCATCCCTGGGGAAGGCTTTCCAGGTGCTGGCATTGACCTGTCTTCAGAACTGAACTGTGCTGGTTTTCAGACAGAGATGTGTGCCCTCTTACCATGCCTGAGTATTGGCTACAATGGGGTTTGTTTATTGCCATTTCATGGAAGGGAGAAGGATCCCTCAGGAGTGATGTGAGGTAATTAATAAAGTCACTCTGAAGTCTAATGAGGTGCCCTGCAAAACTGGCCATTATTTAGTTGCCATAGTCATTTGGATTATTTTCCTGAAATACTGAGAAGGGAACACTGCATTTCATGCCTGTGAGAGAAAAATATGGAAAAGACAGAGAAATGTTTGCCCTCTTTTAGATCTGTGATACTGTTATGAAAGATGACCTCCAAAAGGAGAAGAAATCAGGTTCCACAAATCTTGCAGCCAAGTTGCAGCTCTCTAAAATTGCTGATGCACAGAAAAGACCAGAAGCGTTTCCTTACACAGAATCAAATTCGGCTAATAAGCTGAGTTTTAATATAGCACAATTTAAACTTGATTTATAGGAGGGTAAATGTCATGGTATGTTTTTTAAAAATGTATTTTATCTTAATCAGCTTTTTATATTCTTTACCATCATATGGTTTTCCAGTAGTTTTGGGTTTGAGTGTTTAATATATGCCTTTGTGTAATTATTTTGATCTCCCTTTCACAAACATAAAGAGAGAAAAAGGAAAAATGCACATAGATTATTATCACAGTGCTTTGAATTTTTTTTTATCTTTTCCAGTTAGTTGAAATAATAGAACTTGAGGGAGAATATTGTTATTTTTGTATTGTGTAATATATCAGATATAGAAGTGATTAATGATCTAATCCAGCATTAAATTAAGAAATCCCATTTTTGTCTCTTACCAGTAATTACTGTGTTGTAAACACTGTTGATGGCAGTTACTGTATTGAAAAACGAGGACTCAAACTCTAAAATATTTTTTCTTAGCTTGTGCACGAAGCTAAGATAAAATAAGATGCTTGCATTTAAAAAAAAAAAAAACCCATGAAAATAATTTTTCCACATTATAGATGTATTGTGGTGGGTTTCTGAGATAAAATTCCAGGTGTATTACTGGTAATAATGAAGAATACAGGAGGAGGATGGCAGATAAAGCACAGCTTTGGGTCACTTTATTTTGGCCTCCTTAGCAATGCACAAAAAGACCCTGCAAGTGAGAGCTGTGCAGTTTAAAGTGTTCAATTTGTCCTTGAATTCTAATATCAGATTTCCTACTGTATGTTTTATAATGTCTTTATGTTAAATTACTGTCCTGTACAGCTCTGGTAATCAACAGTAAACACAAATAAAACCTATTTCATGGTTTTAATGCCTAGAAGAGTTTATTCACTTCTTACTGCTTGTGTTTACCCAGTTCTATGCCTGCCTCAACTTCAAGGAGAGAACATCACAAAAATTCTTCATTCCTGTGACCAGGACCTTCATTCAGGCCACTGAATGCTAGAATTGGTAGGCTGCTTAATGCTGTTCCCTATTGTTCTCTGAGCTGGATCCCCAGCTGCTAACCACAGACAGTAGGCAAGATGATTATTAGAGGAGAAACTGAAGACTATTACCACTGATGAATCATAGATTTCAATCACTTATTCTTCTGGAGAAAAAGGCAACAGGGCTGCTGCTTATTCTGAAGGTCTGAGTGGTGTGGTGAGGAAGAATGTGATGATATTCATATGGGAACAGCAGAAATGGTGGTGGCTCCCAAACATCTGATAGGAGACAGTGGAACAAAGGACAGGGCTGACACAAGTGCCATTTCATCACAGCATGCCCCAATCCAACGGCACCGTTTCCTGGGAGATGGAGCAACACTGCGTGCCTATTAATCACGAGAGAAGCTCTGCTGTTCTCACAAGTCCTCCAAAACCTGTCTAACTCGAGTGGGCGAGGATCAGCCCACCCATGACAAACTACTGCAGCTTTATCCTACATACTATATATTATCAAAAATGTTATGTCTGCTCTGAACAAAATGTCCAAGTGTGATAAATGTGGGCAATGTTCCAAGAAAGTGGGCTTGTCTTCATGAGTGTTGTACTTAAAATCAAACTTTAAGCTAATTCATTGTAATCAGCCTAATCTACAGACCTGCATGAGGCACTCATTTTTTTGTAAATATTGCTGTCACACTTACTGAAATTAATATTTTGTGCAGATTAGTGTGCTGCTAACTAAATTGCTTTGAAATCTAATCAAATTTACTGTGACTTTCTCTTGTAGCTATGGTTATATACTGTGGTCTTATTTATATTAAACACATTCAGTTCCCTCTGTTATTATAAAAATGTGCTTTAGGAAAGCTTTCAGTGAAGCAACAGGCAACTTCTCCCGTCCCATGAGAGCCTATATTTCTGGAGGTTAGAGAAGGACTTGTGTAGTCCTGGCTGTGGAATGTACAACCATACTCTCCTCAAACTGCATAAAGGTAGGCCTCACTGCTGGAATTAATCTAAGTTTGATATGGTACAAGCCAGAGTTCATGATATAGCTCTCTTCATTACTGAGAATCTAGGTAGAACAATGCCAATGGATAATTCACTCCTCTGTAAAGTGCAGAATGCCAGCAGAAGGCAAAACCATCAGATCTATAATTTTTTTCTTACATATCCAAGGAAAGAATGAATGTTTTCTCGGTAAGTAAGCTTTTCATTGAAGAAATACAAGCATCAAATACTTCAGAATCACTACAAATCTGTCCACTCTGTGCTTATTCTCTGATATTATGTTTGATCATCAGTGATCTATGTTTTATTGTGTTTTACTATTTGAACTGCATTATGAGATGAAAAGTTTGAAGGTACTTTTAAAATGTAGGTTGGGTTAGAAAAAGCACTGTTCAGGATGTCACAAGAGTAATTTCAAAGAAATTTGTTACTGTGACATTAATGTCTTAGATCAATATGCTGGGGTAAGTTTTTAACTGCAAGGATAACAGTAGTAATTTTAAATTAAAAAGAAAGAAAGAAAGAAAAATCTGATTCCTGGGGAAAGGCAGAAGCATAAAAGGAGAATTATTTTAATGACCCAGTGAGAAAATTACACTAGCAAAGTCTTTGTTACTTGTTTATGTAGTCTTGTGTAAATAAAAAATATTTTAATTGTTTTTTAAAAGATACAATGTATGTTTTATGTTATCTCTTCCAATAACATATGTCAAATATATTTTACTTTACAGAAACCTTTGAGGCAATTATTTGATAATTTGTCAAGAAGTAACTTAATGACCACTAAGTAGTCCTCCAAAAAAAGTGTCTTTTTCTGCAAACTGTTAAATTTATGAAAAGTAAACCTAAAAGTATAAGTAAGTAAGGTGAAGAAAGAGACAAAAAGAGTGTCCTAAATATGAAAATACCTTCACTTCTACTTTTACAATGGTGGGGAGCAGCTCAAGAATTACAATCCATTTATCATTAATTCCAGCTACTGCTTGAATTGCTACATCCTTTTTTCATTTCTTAGGCAGATGTTACAATGTGTATGACATAGCCTAGGATTATTTTTACTACATAAGCATTATACTGTTTGTGTCTGAAATAATATCAGGTATTCCTTTTATCATACCACTTCTTGAGATAAACTTACTGAAGTCATTTTTTTTTAAACAAAAGAAAAGGCTGCATGATCCTAGAGCAACTGGCAAGGAATTTGTTCAGGACCAAGTAAAAGCAGCACCCAAGAAATAGCTATAATTCAGTGTGTTGGAAGTATAATCTTCCCCAGGACTGATCTGTTCCTGATTTCACTGAAATTCAAGGCTCTCTTCCGTTCAGTTTCCGTAGCAGAGGAGTTAGGCTCCAAAGAAGAACTCAGTAGAAGCCCTAGTGATACACGATTTAGGCTGTTGCAGTGTGACTCAAGCAATGCTGACTTAGGCTAAAAGAGGATCTACTCTAATAAGCAGGGTTATGTTTTTGTCCTTGGCAACATGACTGTGACTTACACAGCAATCTGACAGGGATTTACACTGTGCTCTTTTCAAGAGACAAAATGTTCCCACCATGTATTTGGTTTGCATGGCAAGGTTTTGGTAGCCTAGGGCTACAATCGTGACTTCAATGTGAAGCTGATAGAAGCTTCTCCTGTATCTGACAGAGCCAATGCCAGCTGGATCCAGGCTGGACTCACTGCTGGCCAAGGCTGAGCCCATCATTTGTGGTGGTAGAGCCTCTGGGATAACATAGTTAAGAAGGGGGGAAAAATTATTGGTGGAAGCAATTGCAGCCAGCTAAGACAGGAGTTGAGAGTGTATGAGAGAAAAATCCCTGCAGACAGCAAGGCCAGAGGAGAAGGAGGGGGAGGAGGTGCGTCAGGCACTGGAGCAGAGATTCATTTCCCTGCAGCCCATGGTGCAGCCCTTGGTGAGGCAGCTGTGCTCCTGCAGCCCATGGAGATCCAGAGTGGAGCAGAGATTCACCTGCAGACCGTGGAGGGCCCCATGCCAGAGCAGGTGGATGGCCAAAGGAGGCTGTGACCTTGTGGGAAGCTCATGCTGGTGCAGGCTCCCATCAGGACCTGTGGTCCCACAGAGAGAGGAGCCCACACTGGGGCAGCTTTCCTGGCAGGGAAACCCCATGAGGGACCCACACTGGAGCAGGCTGTTCCTGAGCAACTGCACCCTGTGGAAGAGGTGCATGCTGGAGCTATGAAAGGGTATGAGGAGTCCTTCCCCAGAGGAGGAAGGAGTGTCAGAGACAATGTGTGATTAACTGACCACAACACCCACTCCCTTGTCCCACTGTGCTGAGGGGGAAGGATGTAGATAATTCAGAAGTCAGTTGAACTCAGGAAGAAAGGAGTGGTGGGGCAAGGTGTTTTAAGACTTATTTTTTTATTTTTTCATTATCCTACTCTGATTTGATTGGTAATAAATGAAACTTATTTCCCCAAGTGAAGTCTGTTTTGCCCATGATCATAACTGCTGAGTGATCTCTCCCTGCCCTTATTTCAACCCACAAGCCTTATGTTATATTGTCTCTTCTCTGTCCAGCTGAGGAGGGGAGTGATAGAATGGCTCTGGGGAGCAGCTGGTGTCCAGCTAGGGTAAATCTCGGAAGACTGAATTTGGGGCAGTGTTTTGGGAGTCTTGGATCACTATGTTTCAGGCCTTCCTGACCTCTCAAAAAAATGGCTCCAGGGTACAATGCTCTGCTTGCTTACTCTCCCTCCCTGGCTCTATGTACCTATGTACTTAACCCTTGCCTGTGTGCATGGGTAAAGAGAACAATACTGGGAGCTCTGCTCTGCCTTGTTTGGGCAAGCAAAGCTACAGACTTTGTAGTCAAGGGGGATGGAGATGGTCTTCTCCTTATTTTCTGTATCTGAGCATGGCATTCTAATGTGGGAGGTGCAGAAACCTTTTGCATGCTGCTCTCTGCTCTGTAACTATGCAGAGAAAAGACCACAGCTTGTGTGGTAGAATAAGATTATGCCACAGGAAGGGCTTAGTAGTTGTCTTTCCCCTGTGTGTTTATTGTGAACTGTGATTGGCTCAACTAAGAAGCAGGAGAAAAGGAGAGTTTCTATATCTATCTACTGTGAAAAAGGTTATGTCTTTATGTCTTCTGTTTTGTTATTGATGGGGGAAGAGGTTCAGTATACTGTAGCAATCTACATGGCCACAACCCCCCAGGAGCAGAGCTCCTGACTTTGGTCTATAACCTTTTCATTCAGTAAGTTTGAAAAGAGTTGGAAAAATAAAAAAAAAAAAAAAGGTAGAATTTTGATCTGGACTTCATTGAATTTGTATGTATACAGGCCTGGCTAAACAATGAAATAAGAACATAAAAGTAAGCATCATCACAGTAACTTCCTACTGCCTGCTATTGGTTAAATATACACAATCAAAATACAGATTTCAAGGTGTACATAGAAATAATTATGACATGGCCCAATATTTAAGACTTATGTTTTTTGCTTTTTTTTTTTTTAAGCAAATACTACCTCACATTTTCTTGTTATTTTATACACGTAATTCTACACATATTTGAAATAACATAATCAAGTACACCTACGTAAGGTACGTAGAATAAATAAACAGACCAACTCCCTTCTCAAAAAGCAACACAGAACAAGTGGTACTTAATGAGACATGAACAACTTTCTAATTAACAGGAATTGTTACTATTAGAACATTTTAAGGCAGTATAGCCTGCAACAATTACTCTTTTAAAATAGTCTGGTTTGTGATGAGTTATGTTCAGCTCTCAGAAGGCAAAAAGTTAAATAAACATTGTCATAATCATGCCCAAGATTAGCATGCTAATTAAAAAAATAGAGTTCTCTTCTGGAGCATCTATTTTTCTTCTTCAATTTTGAGCCTTCCATGAAAAACACAGACTGTTCTCTATGCCTCCTCTTTAAAATTTCTTGTGTTACAGATGAATCAGTTAGTGAAAAATTTATGATTCATTCCTAGAAAAAAATTTCTTGAATTTCCCCACCTATCTGGCCTGAGGGTCATACCCATACTGACTTACACCCTAGCAAGCTTTCTCATTTCATCAGCAAGAAGTTCTTAATTTTCTTTTCGATATTGCATCCATGAGGATCTCGTTATTGAGTTATTGCTGAAATGGAAGGCATGATCAAACTCAAGATTTCTGGTATTGCAGTCTGACTACAAGCACAGCTGGTAAGTATCATGGGTAACCACATATTCTGTGGTACAAAGTATTACAGGGAGTTCTAGTCTGAGAAATACTGTATATCTTAGTAATGGTATTAATTGCAAATGGTTGGATATTTGATTTCAAGTTTATACTTTTCAAGCTCACTACAAGTGAAAGGGAAAAGGCAAAATATTATACAAGGCTACATGGTCAGTGATTTGTATCAGTGCTGAATCAGATGGTTTATGTCTACCAAGACAGTTTGACAAGGAAGGATAAAGAACAGAAGTGGGCAGGAGGCTGATTTTCTCAAAGAGCAATGTAGCAGAAGTCATTCCTTGCAATCAGATGGTTTGATAGAGCAAAGCCTTCAGGGAAAGAAGGCAGAAAAAAAATCAAAGGCCTCAAATTTGAGATTTTGAATCCTGAACTTTCTGCTAGTGTTGGTTGCTTGACTTCAGACCACAAGGGCAGAAAAAGTGCTACATATAAATGGGGAAAATAGTATATGCAATTTTTCTAAAACTTATCTGTATGAACAGGCTCATAAAAATTAAGGGGGTGAGGGGAGCTGATTAGTTTCACTGAAATCCTAAAGTGACTTGTCCAGCCTGTCTTTTGATCCTGATAGAGTTTTTTTCTGTTTTCTTTAGTAACTTTAGATATATGTCCTTGGAAGGATGCTTTACTTACCCTTTTGTATGACTACTGCATCCCAGTTTTAATCAAGACATTAAAAGAAAGTGGTAATATATGCATTTCCCTAAAAAAAAAAAACCTTCTTTTGTGAGTTCACCATTATAGCAGTACTGAATGCAAGCTTCAGCAAATCTGTTAAAAAGGTAAATAAGAAGTGTTTGGGGCATTTAAGAGTAGTAGGAAATGCTCTGGACAACAATCAGAAGGCCTGCCTAAAAATAAGTATTTTAGCCTTATGCATGTATTGTCCATATTTCTACATTTACAGTACAGGTTCAGAGTCATAACCTTAACTTTCGAACAAGCCAGTGCTTTCTGCAGTTTGAGAGGTTTGCAGCTATTTCCTTTTCTAGTGATCAGGATAGTTCAGTATAGTCAGAAGGTCATTTGCCATTCTCTTTAGTGATTTACAGTGTTACTGACTGGCCCCTAAGTTTTAAACATAATGAATTCAAGAAAGCTGTAGCATAACTTGATAATTTAAGAATTTTCATCTGATTAAAAAACCCAGGATTTGGTGTCTTGATACAATATAAATTTGTAGTAATTAAGGCAGGATAATTTAATTCAGTATTTTCTCTTCACAGTCAAAAAGATTTTTTTCCACATTTTTTTCTGGTAAGTAGTCTCAGTTGTCCTTCTAAACTTAAAACAGGTAATACACTAGTGTGTCCTGTATTCTGATACTGAGATGATTTTTACACTGAGAAGCCATGAGGAGTTTTTTCTTAACAAATGATCCATTCATGATAATGCCACCATCTGCTGTCCAGAGAGGATGGAGAGCAATGAAAATGAAAAATAGCAAAATCTCTAACTCACTTACTAGGTGCAGACTCCCTCCAGCAATCCACAAATCTTCAGGCATCTGGCACGGGCTTGGCAGCTTTGTAATTGTGGGAAGTGAAAAAATGATTGTAGTTAAACTTATGCCTAGCATTCTCTTATTTTTTAGAAAGATAGTAAAATAGTAATGTGGTAGCCGTTTGCAGGCATGCATCTATGTATAGCTTCAGATGGCCTCCCCAAAGCACTTAAACTGCTGAGAACACCATGCATGGGCGAACTGTAGTGTTAGTGAATTTGGGATTTATTAAACTCCCACTCTCTCAGCTGCTTCGGAAAATTTGGTGCACTGTGTTCTTTTTCCTTCTCTGAATGGCACTGAGCATAACCAGTAGTAGCACCATGAGTGCTATACTCATACTATATTAAATATCCACTTTCATTCCTTGCAGTGCAAGAATGAAATAATTTCTGTGTCTAATGAGATCAGACTCTTCACTGTCTGTATTTGCTCTTGTGGAGCAGTTGCGCAAAGCGAATTGAGTAAGTTCTCAAGTATAGGATACAAGGAAAATGTTCTCTTGTCCTCCCCCTCTCCCAGCCCAGTTACTTGCCTGTTTTTTCTGGGTTCTTAGTCCTCTGCACAGTCTGGGAGGAGCACTGCCGTGCAAGCTAATCATTCCCTTGTTGCTGTGCCTGAGCTGCTTCCTTCCTTTTTATTTTAAAAAACTTCCTTTCCTGTTCCAATTACAGGACAAGCTGGAGTTACTGAAATATAAAGCAAAACCGTTTACCTACAGCTGGGATTATCTGTGACTGAGTAGATGGTATCTCTGCCATACAACCTACATGAACCAAAGCCAGTGATTACATGCCTGATAGGCATCACAGTCGAGGCACTGCTAGAATTCTCAAAGATGCCTATATAGAGGCGTGGGCACATGCAGCTAACTTTTCTTTTGTTTCTGTCATTTTATTCCCTACCTTAATTCCACTACATCCGAAATAGATAAATAAGGGTCAAGTACTTTTGCTCCTCATGCACTCTTTATGACTTCCCTCTCAGAACTGACAGTTTGTTGACAGTTTTGTACCCACCTGTATTTTCCGTCTGCCTCTCCCTCCTCACCAGCTATTCCTAAATGTGACTTTTCATTCACACTGTATGATGTGAAACTAATGCACACTGCTGAGTAGTAGGTCTAAACTAGTTTAGACCTCTATAATCCCACTTTCCCTCATTCACCCTTCAGTCCAGTCCTCTGCCCCCACCTTCTTTACAGCCATTTTTCTTAGATGACAAGATAATGCTCGGAAGAGAGATTGGGTATTTGTACGAGGTGTATTGCATGGAGCATTGCCATACAACACAGAGGAAGAACTAGTAAAATGACCTCATTACACAGAATTTTCCCATAAATTGAATTTATGTAAAGCCCTCGGTAAAACAGTTAAAATTCTGCATCCTATTTCTTCTTGGTTCTTCATCCTCTCCCATTCACTTGTTGTAGACTTGATTTTGATATGTTTGTTTCTACTGAGCTATGAGGCAACCTGCTTGCAGTACTTGCTTTTGCTGTCCAGACACCAGCACACACAAATATTTAGGTCCAAACCCTACCATCAGCTTTTCTACTAAGTGATCTTGTTATTCTGCTGAAGCGTGCACCACTCTACGCCTGAAAAAATGAAAACACTCACCCTCAGCAGTGGGCACTGGAATAATCCCTCAAACCCAAGTGCCATTCAACAGATGCATCCCGGAGCTCCTCGGTCTCTGTCATTTCACAGTTGAGATACAAATGGCCAAATCAGACATTATTTGTTCAGTGAAAATGGATGGGTGAGTTGCATGTAAATAAACCCTGCCTTGGTAGCAAGAGTGCTGTTTGCCTCTGGTTTCAGCAGAACCTTCTCCTGCTGGTGACCAGGATGCATCACCGAAACCCACCGTGCAGGTTTAGGCAAACACTTGCCAATACAGGTTACAGCTTCTCACGTTCTTCTAGGGCTGCTTCCCTTCCGAGACAGTGTGCATCTATTTGTTCATACCAGCAATATGTGTTGCATCAGAGTATTTGTAACGAGATGCAGCTTTCCAGAATGCAGCCCTTTTCTCAAAGGACAGGGAGATGCCAAAACGTGGAAACTTTCATTTTCCTGCTATCTTGTGTGGATTTCGCCATTGACTTGACAGTGAAATGACAGGAGGTTTCCCTTGTCTAAAGATGCATAATGTACTTGCAGAGCTAAGGAACATAACCCTGCAGAGCAATAGAGAAACTCAGTACTTTTTCCACCTTTATTCCCCGCATTTTTCCCCCACGGTGTCTCCGGGAGGCGCCAAAGAGCCGCTGGCCAGAGCCGCCTTTGGGCTCGGGTGTAAAAACCTCGGGGTTTTTGTAAAACATCCCCCAAAGTTCAGTGTCAGACCCGCTGTTCAGCACCCGGGCTCCTGGCCTTGCTCTTCTCTTACCCTCGTGCCTTGATGGTTCCGCCTGTGTAAAACTGGCTGCCCTATAGCAGCTATTTCTGCGCGTTTTTGTCCTCAGCAATGGCCCAGACCCTTCAAAAGATTTTCTCTTCTGTATCGTGCAATTGCTTGTTCTGTTTCATGCAAATATTTATGTAAACCTTTTCCTCTATAATGCTGTACTGATTAACAAGAGTATTCCTTCCTTTCTTAAACATGGCGTAGTTACATTTGTAGACTTAGATTCATTAATTCTTGTTTTGTGTTTCAACCTGATGGCAGTGTTCTCATTTTTCTTTTCAGTGGTGTGATCCCTTCTTGATTTCTCTTTCTCTTACTCCAGTGCTTTAGTGTTAGCACAGAACTGTAACCTGTATTTCTGCAGTGGCTGCAGCACTGTGATATGCTTTCTATGCTTTGGCAAAGAACACAGCTTTTCCAAAATAATGGAATATTTTTGGCTGGCCTGTGTTCATTATCTGATGCCCTACAGAACACAACAATTAAGTATTTAGTGCTTTTATGCACTAAATTAAATTGTCTACCAAATCTAGCTTTAAGAGAGAACTTTCATTTGATGGTGCGTTAGCAAGAGAGTACCTGTAACGTAAGGGAAAAGAGAATCAAAGTACATGACAGGTAACCAAAATATGGGAAACAACATTTAGAGTTACATTCTATAACAGACAGCTGTTTTGAGATAAAAAGTTACTTCCTCATTTTTATTTATTCAAATTACTAGATTTTTGTAAAGGAAAAATTAGAAACAAATTACACTATTGCAATCGTAACAAGCCTACGTTCATGTTACCAAGAGGGTGTGGAACACAGCCTGCTAAAATGTGAACTCAAATAGAGGCATAAGCATCGGCTTCAGGGTGGAGGAATCCAGACAATTTTTTCCACCTTGGCAATGGATTGCACACTGCAAGGCAGCAGTGGTGTGCTGTATTTCGTGAACTCTGGCCTCTGTTTCTCTCTCCAAGAAGACATCCTCTGCTCTTTCTAGAACATCTGTATAGGCTCCAAAGTGTCACTGAATTTGAACAATGAATTGGAAAATTGAACTTGCTGTCTTCTCTCTTTCATGGCTCAAAATGTTACCTGATTTGCCAAGGCAGCGATTCCTGAGCTCAGTAATCAGATTTGCTTGTGTGTTATTTACTGACAATTTGAAGTACACTCATGAGCTCTGATCATCAAGTATATTTCTCCCTCCTAGTATACTTCTTCCAGTTTGGCTAGGTGGGCTTTAAGAGTAACAATGGATATCTACTGCACAAGAAATACTCTAAGATAATGCTTTTGCACAGACTGCCAAACCCCATTATTTTCTGTATTCTAGATTTAGACTGTAAAGAAAAACTGCTTTTTCAATAGAAGATTAATGTTACAATAAGAAAATATTTCCACAAAGAGATAGTTATTGAATTATGGTGAGGCTCTCAACTATCTCTTTTTTCTGCTCTTCTGGTTTGAAATTGTTGAATTAGTAACATTTCCAAGTCTGAATCTTTCCCAATGATGTTAGAGAGTTTTCTATACCGTGTATCTACATATGATACTCACCTGATGATTCAAGGTAATCTTCACCTTGCAGGATCTTGCTCACTTTGTCAACTAATCTGTTTTATGGGACGCTTCCTAACAGTTTTCTCTCCTAAATAGTTTAACATGAAAAGAGTTTTGCTGGGTCTGATTTTTAACAAATCCTAGCAGGTGAAACGTTTTGTCATTTTGTCTTTTCCATGAGAACATGTATTTTCTGCAACTTGCTGCCATCATTCTAGTTAGGCTGGTAACTAATAGTTGTCTATGTTGTGGTGTAAATGCAGAGTTCAATATTGAGGGCTCGTGAGGGAAAGCTGTAGGAAATACAGTTCTTTCAACCATTCATAAGATTTCTAGCTTTTAACAAAGGCACAACTACCATTTCAAAGTAAGCAGTTGTATGCAGTGTATAATTCATGTTTTCCCCTCTTGAAAATTTGATTTTATTCTAGCCATAGCTGTTCATTTCTTGAATAATTTAAAAGCAGAATGTTTAAGAATGGATGTGAAAGTTTCCTCAGAGTAACTGAGAAAAGGCTTTGCTAGTCTTAGTTTAGGCCTTCATATGCTAATATTTGCCTTTCTGATAAACTGCTAGGACACGCAGTTTTGTTTTCATTAGCAGATTTTCTTCAGATCTTTCAGGTCAACGTTCTTTTTTTGATGCTATTCTTGATCTTTCAAGTAGTTTGACATGTTCTGTGTAAAAACTGCACTATCTTCTGAAGTTACCAAATTAGTGATACTAATGAACTCCCATTTTTAACAATTAATGGTTTCCTATATAAAAGAATTACACTTATGGCAATCACAGATTGCTCATGTTTTAAAGTACAGGTTATCAACCTACTATTGTAGTTGTTTGTTGTATATTTTAGTCTCTGCTACTCTTGCTCAGGGGAACCCTGACTTGAATGTACCTTATCTGCCAAAATGTAACTATTTTATTCAGACCAGATATTTTTCTTTAAGCTTGATTACATAATAAGAATTAATGGGAACTGTGAAAAAATAGAACTCAGTTGTGTTTATGTTGAGATATGTACAAGGAAGAAAATCCTCCTCCCCACCAATGGTTTGGCAGGATAGCAGAGAGGATTTCTTGGCCAAAGATCAGATTAAATAAATAGTTTCCATTTCTACATGAACAGACATATATTATCTTGTAAGACTTGAAAGACACTGACAGGAGACAAATGATGGAATCACTTACTTCTTTTGCCTCAGCCACATGGAAAAACTTGCATTGCTGCTCCACTGTGCAAATAAATTGCTATTACGAAAACCTAGTGACTTAAAAGCAGAAACAATGCATTAGTGACATCCAAAGTAAATACAATATATCTAGAGTATTTAATACCATAAATGCAACTCTTTAATTTAATATGTATAAATACAACTCACACGTCTAGAGTAAACAGAAAATCAACTCTTTTCAGTGTTGTGGGACTGCACCAAAACTGGTTTTAAAAGATACTGGCTATAAATTAAAATTATGCCAATAAGGTTAAACAACTTGGGTCTCTCTCTGCCAGATGTGAGAATTGAATGGAGTTGTTACTGCATTGCAAGTAAAATGACAGTCATATTCTATCATGTGTAAATACTAAGCTGAACAGATTTAAAATTCCAATTGGTTGGGAAATAGAGTAATTCTATAACTCCAGTGAAGCTACTCTGATTTTATACTAACATAGTAAGAAGGCCCTTGGTCTTTTATCTTCTCTAAAGTATAGTGTACAGAATTTTAATGTTGCTCAGGAATTAACAGAAATATCAATCATACTTTAGCAAAGCCTAAAAATACTTTCTAGTCAAATGGATTATCACAAAAGTACTGAAAATGTGAAAGGACACACAATTCTGAATTTTATAGTTAGATGCATGGCCATGTTCATATTTTAAGAGATTGTCTTAAAGAGCAACATAACAACTGAAATAAAATACAATTTATTATCCTAGACATTACAATAACAATAATATTGTTTCATATTGTGTAAATAAGGATGTACTTTTCTAAGTGATTATAATGTAAGTTTGAATAACTTAGATCAGCAACCAAAGCTGAACATTTAAATGGGGTCCCAACTGTCTCTGATAAAGCAGTCAAAATTTCCAGTAGTTTCTGTACATCTTGGCTGTAAAGAACCTAAAGTGATATTGAAGGAACATGACATTACTTAAAATAATTTGGCATTAGATTCTGAACATTTATGTTGTCTACTTAGAGCACATTTAAGGAAAACATCAATGCAATATATTATCTCTGATTGTGGAAAACTTGAGAGTTAATGTGCATTGCTTCTATCATCATCTGTGAGTTATTTCCTTACTTTCTACTGAAGTATAATATAGAGGTAGTTTGCACTATTCTGCCCTGAAATAATACAACTGTTCTCTTGGGTACATTATTTCACGTGTATATTATGAGTAAGAAATTACCATCTTGTTTGCACAACTTCTGTTAGAAAATGAATTTAAAGATATTTGTGGCTTCACTTATGCAGATAAGGTAGTGGATGTTTTTTTAATTGTCTTTATATAATAAGATGTGAATTAGTCTATTTAAAATTGTCTCAATTGTTTCACTGATTTTTAAGGTTCGCTTGTGTCCCTTTTTTTGGCTGTGTGTGGGAATTATAAAACTCTTAATGATACATATCTGGTACATGTTAAGGTCTTCTACCACATCACATCCTTAGCCAAAAATCACAAAGGAAATAAAATGTTTAAATTTCTGGCTTACGTCTCTATTCTTCTTCAATAACACCTGAAGTTCTGTTAATATACTTTTATCCTCAAAAATCAAATGGCTCTCTAGGTGTTCCCACAGCTTCACGTCTACAAAATCCTACCAACAGAAAAACACTGACAGAGAGGCTGGGCCTCAGATTTGTTGTAATATCTGATGTTTAGAATTTAATAGGTGATGTCTTGCTTAGTTGCAATATTTTCAGTCCTTGTGCAGCGAATCACCTGTAGGACTCCTTATTACAAGCAGCTGTGAAAAAGTAATTCCTTCATTCTTCTGCTTTGGAACGCGGTCGTGGAAGGGGGAGCTTTCTGTGACTGCTTTGGAAGCTCAAGGGCCGCCTATATTTTGGTTCATAACTTATCCATCTGATCTCCTTTTCTCCGCGCTGTGTTGGCGTGCTTTGGCAGGGCCTGCAGGGCATCCAGAGCCCCCCAGCTCCTCCCGTGCCTCCGGGAGCCTGAGCGGGGCTGAGCAGGGCTGCTGCCAGCAGTGGGGAAAATTCAGAAACTCGCTTCTGTTCCTGGCCTCTGGCGTACATATTTATCAAAATGCTGGTTTTTAATCTATCTTACAAGTTTTGTTGTTTTCCCGTCAGTATTCGTGCTGGTTATTTAAACTTCATTGAGGCAAGCAGTTTTGTGCTGCATCCCCTTGGTACAAATTAGAGATTGACACCTGTGAGCCCATATAATGGTATATAGTACCCGTGCTTCAGTCTCATTAGAAGTAATGGATTAAGTTTGTGGATCTTTGTACCTCATTTTTTTTTTTTTTTATTTCCAGTCACCGCTGTCTTCCTTTTGTATACATAATAATTAGTTTTCAGACTTTGCAGTGTACATCCCCAGGCCATTTTCTGGATATTTGTGCAGTTAGTTTAACGAACTTTTCTTAGGAGTTGCTATGTGATTAACAGTCATTACATTCCCGGCTTGCCCATTTTACAAATTACCTACAGATTTCATGTTCTGCAATTAAGTTTTCTTATTGCCTTTATAAAGCCACAACATTTTTTGTGGTGAACTCGCCCAGCTAACAAACAACAAAGGCTTTGTAGTTGTGGTTGTGCTCCAAGGGTGATCCTCCGTCCCTGTCAGCAGCTGCCAGAACAAGCCGTGCCCACGGAGCTGCGAGCGGATTGCCGGGGTTTGTCACCAGCACGTTCGTCTGTCGGGCACAGCAGCGAGGGAAGGAGCGCGCTGGCTCTGGATGTGCAGGGAGCTCTCGGTGCGCCCGGTGCCCCCTGCAGCGGAGGGCGCGGGGGCTTTCCCGGGCCCCGGGACTGCCCCTCCCGCGCGGGGGCGGGCACGCTGCCTCCCCCGAAACGGGCGGGTGCCGGGCGGGCCCGGTCCGCGGGGGTCAGGCTGGAAACGAGCGTTC